GTAACTATTTATATTTGATTATAATTATGTTCCGAGTAAACTGCCCATGGCAGTAAATATTTATTTCTAAAGAGAAAATTGTTTAAACTAATTCGGTAGACTCACCTCTTCAGAGATTATTGGGATTTTGCACATTTTGAATTAAAATCCGAAAAACGCATGTAGGTGCCGCTTATTTTCGGGAACATATTATATGATTTTTTTTAAATTATTTTAGAATATCATGTTAAAAATTCAGTTAATTTTTGAAGTTATTTTTTTTTCGTGCACTAAACTAGTTATTTAATCTTTTTACCGCTTTCTTAACAACAACTTTTCGATAGTTCTTGCAAGATTGTACATCACTAGCTAACGCACACAATGATAAATAAAAATTGGTCACGGGTTTTCGGGCTGACAGTTCGTTTATAGGCCAGTATATTCTAAGTCTATGACCATAAGTAATCATAAAGGCGATCAGGGTGCAGTCGAAAACTTATTAGTATAATATTCTGATAAAATGACTTTAATTTTTGGTTTGTATATTAAGCAAGCTGTATTTAACTTTCAACTGTACATTAATATATAAAACACAGATATCTACCATACAAAATGTAAACGTTTTGTTTGCTTTTTTGTCTAAACCACTACTCTATACTATATACTCTTTCAACTCTTTAGTACCTAGTTACTCTGAGACATGGGCAGTATGAACGTCAACAAATGACATAATTTGTCCAAGCGACATTTATGTGTTTGTAATTGACAGTATGAACCGCAGAGTAACTACGAGCATGTATGTAATTACTCTAAGGTATGAACATAAGCAATGTATGTTTTATTTAATTCAATTGTATGTATCTGTTACACATATACATAGAAGGCTACCTTCTGCACTCCTTCTCCATATAAACTTTTTATGCCAGTCCCACACACCTCCGTTCGTGCAATATGCTTAAAAAGGGGTACAAAGGTTTACATTCACTTATTAGATACATATGGATAGGGATTAATAAATTACACTTACATTAGCGTGTTATTTAAATGGTAGAAACAAATTATTTTATCAATTGAAGCGACAGTAGCCTAATGGCAGGGCGCGGACCGCGAACTCAAAAAGGTCGTGGGTTCGAATCCGCCATTCGACTACTAGCGTGAACCACTCGTAACACAAGCAATTTAAGCTTACCACGAGTGGTTAAGGGGAATATTAGTAATGTTATATAATTAATAGCATTGTTAATGTTCTTAAAAAAAAATTATAAAGAGTACCTCTTTACAAATCATTACTATACAAGTCACGAATCGTAGCCGTTCATCAGTCAAATCAGATAGCGTAACCGACCAAATGCATATCCGACATTTCTGTACCATTGTGTAAACTTAACACCAAAATAACAGCTAGAATTATGAAAATATAGGTACAATAGTTTGTATTGTTGGTAAGACAGATTATAATTAATTGAGATTACGTGTTAAATCTTTATACCAATACAAATAAAAGTTTTGTGTCTGGGTGTCCTGCCGATAGAGATAATCTCTCGTTTATATATGAATTTGAGCTAGCATCCTCCCAAAAAAGACTCGACCTCGGTAACTCATTAACTAAGGAGGTATCTCCTTAGTTAATGAGTTACTATTTTTTATGAAGTCACTAACTGTCACTAATTCTCACTAAATCTTGACGTAATAAAATTCAGGATATCGTTGGGAAGAATTCTAGGTTAAAGGACGTGATAGTAAGTGTTCACGGTCGTCAATTTAAGTTGCAGCCTGTGCCTGAAGCCTGTGCCCAGCAGAGGAACGTATATAGAAGATACGTCCATCTGCTGGGCACAGGCTTCGTCTCACTTTTATTTTAGGGCAAGGTAGTATCCGCCACGATGCCCCAATGTGTGTTGGCGGACTTCATATATATCATTAATTTTTTTTATCTGACATGCAAGTTTTCTCACGATGTTTTCTTTCACCGTCGAGCACGTGGTAAATCTTACTTACAATTATAAATTAACTATTTCATTAGTGCCTATGGGGATCGACCACGGAGTTGCTCGCGTACTGCGAAATTTACAACAAGCGCGAAGGCCCTAGGCTACCCGGCCCTCAATTAAGTACTGACTAACAGATTCTCTGCAACAAATGGGGATTTTTAGGTTCTAACTTAAATGCCACAAACTAGATTAAGGTGATAGACCTGGGCAAATCTTTCAAGGCTGTAATGCTTTAGTTACTGCAACTTTAAAAGACCTAGCAGTAGTTTCATATAGGCTCGTAAAATATGAAAATTTTAGTAATTTAGTTTTGACGTTAAAATATTTTTTGATACTTAGACTGCTTTAAGAATTTTGATTACTGTGTTAAATATTTACTTAAACTTGTATGCACAAAAAATAAAATCGTACATAATATGGCAGACTAAATGCCGTAAGGCATTCTATCCCAGTCAACCATTATACTAAGCAGATTGTCTCGTACATAGCTTTCGAATAGGTACTCTTTAGTTCAAATGTGAGAAAATGATACATACAGATTTGCCAATATCATAAAACTATTATTAATAACCCATATCCAATCCAGTACGAAAGATACGAATTTCTTTGAAGTATTTAACGTTGGCGAGATGCAACATTTACTGGACTCTGTTTTCACCGGATTTGATGCTTGCCGGATGCAACATTCGCCGGAAACGTATAACTATAATTTAACGCATAACATCCCAAGCACCAATCGCCCACTAAACAAAATTAAGAAATCAGGAAACTATTTGTACAGTTAATAAAATGTATATTTTATCAATAGTTTAAAAAGTAAAACGCGTCAGCAACCTAGCGTTAAAGGAATGATAATATGTAAGCAATGTTAAACGAGCTATAATATACTTAAGTTTATTATCAGTCTTCATGTAAGTTTTCACATGACATGGATTGAATAACACATATAAAACCAAGTTTACTCTTATTTTATTTTTCAAGAGATATAGCAAATACCTTTTATAAGATTGCAGCACTACGTACATTTTAAGTGACACAAAAACGAAGCCAAAATCATGTTCAACTAATCATAAGAACACGCACTCACGTATGCATTTGCGTCTTAAATAATTTACAACCATAGAATACTATAATACATACATAATAGAACGGAGGAGTGGGCGGAGCCCGTGTAGCCACTAAAATGCCACTAACACGACAATTCACATGTATAAATGTCAACACGAGATGTGTTTTGACGTTACAATCGTTTCCAAATTTCGCGTGCAAATTATTTAGAAAATGCCAAAATTGCACGCTATTTACAAACAAATATGTATTAAAATCAGTATGTCAACACAGCGAATCGGGTTTGTAGTAGTGATTAACTGATATTACGACGTAATTGCTTGTATGTGTACCTCCGGCGACGCCGGAGATATCGAATTATTTTGTACGAAGATATCGTACAAAATAAGTTTGACACCCATTCTATTATGTATTATAGTATCTATGTTTACAACAATCAATATGGTTTAACATGCATATGTGTGCGTCCGTTAGTCAATTTTACTGATAAAAAGAGAAAGAAGAAAGATGTGAGTGTGAGTGCGTGCCAAGAAGTTAGACCTTCGGGATCACTTGAAATGTACGTCTCCGTACAGACGGAGTGCTGAGAACCGGGGGAGTGCGTGCGGGCGTGCGCGCGCGTGAGTGTGCGCGTGCGTGCGCGTGCATGCGTGTGTGTGTGTGTGTGTGTGTGTGTGTGGGGGTGTGTGTGTGTGTGTGTGTGTGTGTGTGTGTGTGTGTGCGTGTGTGTGTGCGCGTGTGTGCGTGTGTGAGTGCGTGTGCGTGTGTGCGCGTGTGTGTGAATGTGTGTGTGTGTATGTGTATGTGTGCATGTGTGCGTGTGTAAACCTCTCATAACTTTTGAACGGCTTCACCGATTTGAACGAACTTGGTGGCTTTCGAAAGGGTTTTAACAAACTTAATTTTCAATACTATTTCAAGCTCTTTGGACCGGTATTTTTAAGATATCTCAAAAAACTAAATTTTCAAAAAAAAATGTTTTTTTATTTTTGGGAAAACATTTAAACAGACGTAACGATCAATTCTAAAATCTAATCAGCTTTTAAATATGGAAAGCGAGGTCGATTGCTGTGAACTGCTTCAAAATCGGTTATGCGCTGAAGAGAATCTTCTGAATTTACAGTCTAATTGTTTTTGTTTGTTCTTAAAATACCTCGTCCATTGCAACCAACCACATCAAAATCGGTTGATCCGTTCGAAAGTCATCATTGTCAAGAAATTTCAAAAACCGTTCTATTAATTGACTTCGAAATTTCTGCTCGGATCCTTTTTGATGTAATGAAGTTCGTAAAAATGTTTGTCGAGCGTTTTGAGATCGAACAGCGGAAAGGGATGGCATGCAGGGTCAACAGATTTTTTTTAGTTTAATGTCTCTAAAAATTATTTCGACACGACCGATAGACATATCTATTTTATTTTTGTGATATGATTTACTAACACTTGTTGTTGCTCCGATTATGTTACTATCAATTGCCAATACTGAAATAGCTTTTGGGTACTAGTAATATTGATGATAAAGACGTCGTTTAACAATGTTTTCTGGTTGCTGTTACTTTTTTAACAATTGTTTATAACAGCGGGAAATCAAATAACGAAATATTTCATTTTATTAACATGGCTTCATTTTATTCTAAGAAAATTAATATTTCGAGGACATGTGAATTCCGCAACGCACTAGTTTCTTTATAACCGTATCACAAATTAACGAAGGCAACCCACCTCAAAAACGGTTTAGTAGTAAGAATGTCCACTATCCCGTATCAACTCGAGGGTGTCGTAAAAGCCGACAAAGGGAAACACCAGGAGATAGGCAGCAGCGTCTTATTTAGCATTAGAACAATCTCCAGTTGCCAACCGCCTGCCAAGCGCGTGTATTATGGCAAATATTCCTCCTGTGACGCATTCTGTGAGAAGGCCTGTGGCCAGTAGACTGATAGTCTGTAAAGAATAAATGAGACTCACCTCAATCCCAAATAGGGCCTCCAGGTCGTCAATAACCACGTGTCGGTCCTCCATGACGCGACGCAGATTTTTGGTGGCAGAGGAGATGGTGCGCATGTGGCGCTGCACCGGCGCCGGTGGCGGCAGCGTGTCCAACTGCGAGTTGTCCAGGTACCGCAGACAAACATCGTTCACGAGCGCCATCACTGCCTTCATTAGCCGCAGGGCTATGTAGGCTGCAAAATGATACAACTTAGTATTTAATATGCTCCATATAATCGTCGTTAAAACGTTAATTAAACACCAGAAGGCATAATAGGGTGAAACTGAACCGCTAGATTATACAAATTTTCCCGACTGCAGTACACAAGATACATGATTAAATTTTTGATTGACAGAAGTTTCCTTTTTGTGTAAAGTACAGAAAGAAACAACATTGTGCGTTTCTGACGGACAACACGATCTACGAACTTTGCTACTAAAATCACTATAACAATCTGGGAAAACATAATGTTTCAATTTCCAGAGGCATAATAATTTTTTTTAATATAGAATAAAAGTGACAAACACATAGTCCACCTGATGGTAGGTGCATGCTGCGGTCTATAGACATCTACATTTATTTTCAAAATGCAGATTCGTTGTCACCCTGAGAACTAAGATGGAATGTCTTGTTTCCAGTAAAAAGGGTCTCCGGTTTTCTACACTCACCATACGAAACACAGCAGTATTAAGCTGCTATTTTGCGCTGGTATACCGTGAGAGCGTAGTCCTATCCCGATCGATCCGACTCACTCGTGCTCTAACCACAATATAGCGGCAGCATGGCTCTATCACGTGAAAATTTATTTATATACACTTCAGGTATAGAACTTGCGATTGTTGTCACTTGGTAAAACCTCAGCTACATTTTTGTGGTTTGGATAAACACTTGTCCTTGTTTCACAATATTTACCGTTACCGTTACACTTACAGCCTACTAAAGTCCACTGCTGATCATAGGCCTCGCCATAGCTTGCCTCATAGGAGGTATATTTGCCATAGTTACCACGCTTGGCAAGGGGCCATCCATAAATTATATCACACGTTAAGAGGGAGCGAGGGCGGGGGTTAGTCCACTCCTAACATTTTGACATTATCAGTAGGACTAGATTAGGAAAAGGTACCGAAGGCTGATGATAGCACTGAGATAGGAGCCGAAAAGGCCTTCTCTCTCTCAAGATTTTAAAATAATAATTAAATTACAAAGATTATATATGTACTTAAATCTTTAACAATCTTTTACCTAATTTAGCTGCGCTACGCTCCGGGAAGTCAATCAACCCTGAAAGTCTGTGAACATGTTCAGGATCGCTGCCCTTTTGGTCAGGCTTTATAATTTTGTATAAAGTCTCATGTTTCATTCCCTCTGTCACCTCTGACGATACCCGCAGGTTGATATGGGGATTTGGATTTTGGACCTTCTTACGCCGCTACATGGCGCCAAACGGACGCTAAATTGGACCAAAACCATTGAGTTATACAACAATAGAGGAGCAAACCACATTACCGCGCGTCGAAAAAAGTGTAACCACTATCCAAATGCGACGACGTAGCTTTGAAACTAATAACAATTTTAAGTAAACATATATTTATCTCACTTACACAAGTTGCGAAAACAATATCGTCGCTAAGATTAGATAAAGATAGACACACAAACATGCAATGGCTTGTTGGTGTGGCTTACTATATGAAATTTTACCTAAAATACACAATAAAAATGAGTTTTTTTAAGCTGCAGTTAATTGTTTTTGTTGTTTTTGTTTTTGTTTTGAAGGTAACCGGCGTTAACTATGAGTATCACATTGAGACGTTGAACACCTCAGTAACTACCCCGTGACCGCGGATACAGCAAAGTACTCAAATATCCGAAATAATAAATAAATTATACACTATAAAATCCGTAACAATATTATCACTTTTTTGAAGTTTCATTCAAATATGCATTATATCAAATGAACGCAAACAATGCTTTATTTGCGTTCAGCGTTCACTGATTATATCTGCGGCACGTAAAATGCTTACAAGGTTATGTGTTCTAGACATACGATACCTCATTCATAAACATTTGTACAACTGTAGATACAGATCTAACGTCTTTATTAAGGTTATATTTTAAACCCTAAGTCGCACGTTACACTAACCGCAAACCGATGTAAGATGATATCCATGACATATTTGGTATGATATCAATTCTTGTACTTATAGTTTTATTAGGTGATAGGACGTTAACTCTGCTTAAGAGTCCACCGGGGTAGATACCACTCTTTCCTTACCACTTATTTCAGCCGGAGAATAGCAGTAGAATAGAATTTGCATTGCCGTGTTCCGAAGGGTATATAGAATACAGTTAATTACAGGCTACTATAATTACTGCCTGGAAGGCATTCAATCTAAGTCCTTAGAGGTGACAACGCATCTTTAACGTTTTTTGTAAATAGTTGACTGCAGGTGTCAAGAAAATACTTACAAAAAGACTTCTGAGAAATAACACAAAAAAGGTATGTTACCTTATTAAAAGATTTCTTATGCCAAGAGACGTTTTTAATTTTATGGCCACCATTCCTATCGATCTTGCTCAGAATGTATGATTTAACTTGGAACTGTGGATTCTATGACGTTATAAAATAAACCATAAGTGATAATGTGATAAATGTTATCGTATCGTATCTTTGCACATTGTTTTCAATTCGTAGTCGATGCGTCACTATTTTAGTCACAAATTGCTAGAGAAATACACAATTTTTACAAATATTCTATTTTTCTTTTAAATGCTTTAATTTTTAAATTTTCTAATATCACGAAATCTTAAAAAATATCTAGAACTCACTAATTAAAAAATACTGTTGTACTGATAAATATCTACATATTTAAACAAACATTGAAAACAAATAATGCATTAAGCAGTGACTCATGAGTCATGACATTTCCCTTACATTATCGACTTGACTATTGTGTTACAACACTGCGTAAAAAAGAAGGTGGGCACATCATGTTGGTTTCGTTATCTATAGAGAGGTAAGAGTCGTGTTGCTGCAAATTACACAGTACGCTAGCAACCCGGGTTCGATCCCAGCCGGCACCAATGAAATGGTTAATTGCAATGTCAAGTGCTGATTTACCACGTGCTCGGCGGCGAAGGGAAACATTGTGAGGAAACCTGCATGTCTGAGAAAAAAAAATATTTCGAAGACATGTGAAGTTCGCCAACATGTATTGGCAGCGCGGTGCGGTGGACAGAAATGAGAGGCCTGTGCCCAGCTGTAACTTTAACTATATAGAGGTAAGTGACTCCTTTTACCTGATTCGTCAGGATCGAACCCAAACTCTTTGGGGTGTTTCGTCGATGCCGCTAGCACCTCGTCGAGGATTATCCGCCGTAGCGTCGTCATTAGTGTCGGTGGGCATTGTCTGTAAACAAATGGAAAAACACTTTATGTCTATGCATACAAATGAGCGCATGGTAACCCCTGCATATACATTAGGAGCTCTTAAAGAATAAATATAATTATTTTACTCGATTCGATTACCCACTTACTCTAAAAAAGATCTGAAAACAGACATTGGTTAAAATACTATAACTATAAATTAAATATATATATATATATCCAATAAAATCTAAATGATAATTAATTACACGCGTAACAAGTCGTGGGAAACAGCAAGTTTACATATAAATTAAAACGAAGTATCTGTGTGTTATATCGAAATAACTGTCTTTTATTGAGCTAAGGAGGTTGTTTGCTTGCCGTAAAGACACTATAGTAAACATTTTTAATGAAGTTTTTATTTTGTCTATATGTCTGTCTGTCTGGGCTAATCTTAGGAATTAATGAACCGCCTGTGATGAAATTTCACGAACAGATAGCGAACAAAGCCAAGGGTGATCTATAATGATGATGACGAATACAAAAAAATAGAATACCCCTTTATTGAACTTTGTTTTCCTGTGGAGCTACCGACGCCAAGTACCTAGTATTTCAATGTGTCTGTCAACAGATGCGTCACTACAATACTTTAAATAATAATGAACGCCAAGCTATCAAAATTAATCGAATCAATAATCTGCATTGCTGAGCAAATATAGTTATGGAAATGTTCTATTGTGTTACTAAAATATGAATGAATGGCTTAAACACTACGCATGATTAATTTGTCTGCTTTTAAGACGGAGGATAATAAGCGTAGTGTACATATTATGTTTTCCTGATTATCCGGGAACAATATTTAGAGAAAGCTTTTTAATTAAATATTTCTTTACTGCCTTTTAAAATTATGTCTACAAAAACCTAAGGATAACCAATAAAGTACCGCATAATTATTTGTCACTGTTATTTGCAAAAGAAGCTCTTTATGCAACAAAAATTTAAAATCTTAACTTAGTAGCACTAGCCGTTAGGTAGTTAAGCTAGGGTTGCCAGATTGTCGGGATTCGTCTGGATTCTCCTGACATTTTAATTGATCTCCAGACTACCGACAAAACTCAAAGTCTCCAGACAAACAGCTTCCCTTCATACTTCAATAGGTCAAATTGGTGCACTCAATAAAGTTCAATGCCAAATACATGTGGCAACCTAAATATTGTGTAGGTATTTAAATTAGTTAGGTGTCAACGATGTTGAGTCTTTTTGTAGCCCATTAATTTAAAAAAATTAACTTTTTATTTTTAATATTTATTTCTCCCGACAACAACCCCAAAATGCCGATATTTTCAAATTTTCTCCAGATATTTTGGTCTTTCAAATTGGCATTCTTAAGTTAAGCTGTTGAAAAGATAATAAATAAGAAATAGATTGGCGAAGCGAAACATATTTCACGAACAAATCAGCCTCGTTGATTTGAAAATAGGAAGAATTTTCCCGAAACTAATTTTTCGTCCCCGAAACCAGCATGTTTTAAATTTCATCTAAATCTTCTCAGAGCCATTTTTAAGAACGCGATGTTGTATTCATACAGAACGCCCGTTGTTGTGTTCATACAGAGGGGGTTAAAACAGCTGAAGCGCGAAGTAGCACGCGCAAATGGAAATTAAAGCAACTTTAGTGACACTTTGGAAAATACAACAATAAAATCAAATCATTTTTAGAACCCATCGTGAAAAGAATTAGCGACGAAAAGGCGAGGCGTTATATTCACTAGGTTCAATATAATGCCTAGTTTGGCCTACATTTATATGGAAACAATGATTCACTATTTGTTTTCTCTAATAACACTCGTGAGACATAATACCCACTTACATATTATAAAAAAATGCCATGTATTCCGTTAAGGTAGTATTCAGCTGTGCAGATTATCTCTACATTCGTATTTTACATAACATAACATAAAACACTCACGCCTGTCACCCAGAGGGGTAGGCAGAGACTACGGACTTCCATTTGACACGATCCTGACATACCTCTTTCGCCTCCTTTACATCTACATATCTACGCATACATGCTCGTCGGTTAAGGGTACTTATAACGTGGCCCATTTTCAAAATATCGCCAATTTGGTCGATAAACTTTTTTCTAGGGCGTCCCTTCCCGACTCTGCCGTTCACATCTGCCATATAAATTTGCTTTGTCACTCTTTCCTCATTCATTCTTTCTACGTGACCAAACCACCGAAGCATTCCTTTCTTAATCCTGGTCACAACATCATCTTGCATACCACATTTATCTCTTATTACGCAATTTCTCACCGTCATTCAGATTCAACCCTAACATACTCCTTAAAGACCGCATTTCTACAGCATTTATTCTACTTTCGTGCTTCTTCTGCTACACCCAGCTTTCACTACCATACATTAAAGTAGGGACTAACACAGCATTATGAATTACCATACGTGCCTTTTTTGATACATTCTGGTTCTTCACAATAGAGTGTAGTGCCCCATTCACTCATCATCATCATCATTACAGCCCTTCACAAGTCCACTGCTGAACATAGGCCTCCCCCAAGTAATGCCACAAAGCACGGTCCTGAGCCACCTGCATCCATCGACTTCCTGCATGTCTTACCAGGTCGTCACTCCATCTAGTGGGGGGTCGCCCTACACTACGCCTACCGGTACGAGGCTGCCACTCGAGAACCTTTCTTCCCCATCGGTTATCGGTTCTTCGAGCTATATGGCCGGCCCATTGCCACTTCAGCTTACTAATCCGTTGGGCTATGTCGGTCACTCTGGTTTTACTGCGGATATCCTCATTTCTGAGTCTATCACGCAGAGAAACTCCGAGCATAGCCCTCTCCATAGCTCGCTGAGCGACCTTAAGCGTCCTCATACGGCCAGCAGTGAAGGACCACGTCTCAGATCCGTAAGACATCACTGGCAACACGCACTGGTTGTACAATCTAGTTTTTAGAGATTGAGGTATACCTGACGAAAAGATATGCCGTAATTTCCCGAACGCTGCCCAGCCGAGTTGAATCCGTCGATTGACCTCTCGGTCGAAGTTGGACTTACCTAGTCGGACTATTTGTCCCAGGTAAACGTATTCGTCAACAACTTCGAGCATAGTGTTCCCAACAACTACCGGCATAGGTGTGACATGGACATTGAACATGATCTTTGTTTTGTCCATGTTCATCTTAAGACCTATCCGTTGGGAGGCACTATTGAGGTCATTGAGCATAGTGCTTAAGTCCTCCAGCGATTCTGCCATAAGGACTACATCGTCGGCAAATCGAAGGTGAGTGATGTACTCGCCATTGATGTCAATACCGTATCCTTTCCAGTCCAGTAGCTTGAAAACGTCTTCCAATGCAGCGGTGAAGAGTTTCGGGGATATAACGTCACCCTGTCTTACACCTCTCTGCAGTTGGATAGGTTTCGAGCTCTGGTTCTGTACTCGGATAGCCATCGTAGCCCTACTGTACAAACACTTCAGCACTTCGATATACCGACAGTCAACTTGGCACCGCTGAAGGGACTGTAGCACCGCCCAAATTTCGACGGAATCAAAGGCTTTCTCATAGTCCACATACGCCAGGCAAAGTGGCAGATTGTACTCTTCAGTCTTCTGTACAATCTGCCGCAGGGTATGTATGTGGTCTATGGTACTGAAGCCTTTTCGGAAACCGGCTTGTTCGGGAGGCTGGAAGTCGTCAAGTCTGCGTGCGAGACGATTCGTAATGACTCTCGAAAACAGCACGTAGACGCGGCTCAGAAGGGAAATCGGTCTGTAGTTCTTTAAGAGAGCGTTGTCGCCTTTCTTAAAGAACAAGACCACCGCACTTCTGCTCCACGCCTCTGGAGTAGTGCCACCATGGAGGACGGAATTGAAGAGCTTCTGAAGGACTTCAAGTATCGGTGTTCCACCCGCTTTCAGAAGCTCCGCTGTAATTCCATCCTCGCCTGGGGCCATGCCGTTTTTAAGGTACTGGAGAGCCATTCTAATCTCGCTTAGACTGACGTCCGGGATATCATCGGAATAGTGTCGGATAAGACTTGCTCTTGGATCGTTACTCACACTTGCGTGTGGCTCTAACGATGATGTGTACAGCTGCCCATAGAACCTCTCAATCTCACTCAAAATCTCAGGTGTCCCGGAAACGATGTTGCCACACTCAGTCTTCAGCCTTGACAGTTGGCTCTTTCTGGCAGACAGATCTCTGGCAAAGACTTTGGAGCCCTGGTTCCGCTCGATCGCTTCTTTAATACGAGAAGTATTAAAGTTGCGTAAGTCTCGCCGTATGCATTTGGAGATCTGTCTGTTCAGTTGCCTGTATGCTGTCAAATCTGTTGACGATTGCAGCCTCATCTCCCGTCTAACAGCCATGAGATTAAGAGTGTGATCGGAGAGTTTTTGTGTTCTTCTGCGGCGGGTCTTGCAGAACTTAGCTCCGACCGCATGGACAGTTTCCACGAGCTTGTCGTTCATATCGTCCACTGCATTGCAATCTTCTAGGCACTGGAAGCGGTTACGTAACTCGAGCTGAAAGGTTTCGGGATTCTGGATTAGAGCACGAGGGGGACGGAGCGTTGACTTCATTAGACGAGACCTCTCCAACTTAACGTTTAGGTTCAGTGTGCCTCTAACCATTCGGTGATCGCTGCCAGTTTTCACCCTTGCGATCACTGAGACATCACTGAACAGTTGGCGTCTGGTCGTCATAATGAAGTCAATCTCATTTTTTGTCGAACCGTCGGGGCTCGACCAGGTCCACTTCCTGTGGGGCCGCTTCTGGAAGAAAGAGTTCATCATAAAGAGTCCCTCTTTCTCCATAAAGTCGGCCAGCTGCTGGCCCCTTCGGTTCCGTTGCCCTACTCCAAATTTCCCTACCTTCAGCTCACCGCTTTCTCTTGTGCCCAGTTTTGCGTTGAAGTCTCCCATCAACACCGTGTAGTAGGTTTTGGAGGAATGTATGGCTCTGGAAATATCCTCATACATTTCCTCCACCTCCTCATCGGGATGTGCCGAGGTTGG